TTTCTTAGGAACCAGGTCAAAGGGAAGTTACTCTGTGAGTCCCAAACAAACATGAGGTCTTCTCTGAGGGCCTGGAAATTTGGCAGGATGCATCCGAATTCAAGGCACAAGGTTCAGTCCCTGACCCAGTCGCTGCTGCTGGGCCTTGCCCGGTAGCTCAAAGCTTCGTGGAGAAGGCTCTTCCACTCACCATCGTCCATCCGTCATCCGCCCCCCCGCCCACGCTCCTATCCATCACCCGTCCGTCCCCCCGTCCGTCCGTCCGTCCGTCACCCACCTGCCATCCATCCGTTCATCCTCCATCTTCTACGTGTCCATCACTCTTCCGTCCGTCCATCATCCACCCATCGGACCGTCCCTCCATCTGACCATCCCCGAGGCCAGGGGATGGCTCCCCAGGCTGACCCTGCCTTTGAAACACTTGCACACTTGCGGCCGCCGTCTCCTCATTGCCCCCCAGTAACCTTGGGAAGGAGGCAGGGTGGGAGCTTCAAACACTATTTTGCAGCTGAGATCACGAAGCGAAGTGGCTGGTCCCTGCTGGCAGGCTGGCCCCTGCAGAGGTTTTTGGAGCGGGGGCTCTGGTGTCACAGGCCTGGCCTATGATGAACCCTGCCTCTGCCGCTCGATTGCTGCGTGGCCTGGGGCTCAGCCTCTCTGGGCTTCAGTGATCGCCTCCCAGAGTGGACACAGCGTTAAGTGAGACAGAATTTGGAAAATGCTCAGTGAAGTGTCTGGCACACTTGGGACACCCAATAGTTAGGAAATATTATTATTACAATTTTTTAAATTTATTGATTTTAGAGTGAGAGAAACATTGATTTGTTGTTCCACTTATCTGTGCATTCATTGGTAGATTCTTGTATGTGCCCTGACAGGGATCAAACCCGCAACTATGGTGTATCAGGACGACGCTCTAATCAGCTGAGCCACCCAGCCAGGGCAGCCAGAAAATATTAATACTGATTCAGATCCTCTGCCTCCTAGTCCCTTTCCAAACCGCCCGCCCCCGCCTTTCTAAGGATGAAAGACAGCAGCTGGCAGTGGGAAGCAGTTGCTTTAAATATGAGATGAGAAGAACAAAAGGAAAACAGAACAGGGTGTTGGCTTGTGGCTAAGCTTTTAACAATCCCCCTCCCAAACTTGGGGACGGGTCTGAAGGACATAATCAGATGTTGCCTACTTCCTATTCTTTTTTTAAAAAATACTTTATTTACTTTAAAGAGAGGAGACTGGAGGAAGAGAGGGAGAGAAACAAGGATATGCCAGAGATACATGATCAGTTGCCTCTCGTACGCCCTCAACTGGGGACCTGGCCTGCAACCCAGCATGTGCCCTGACTGGGAATGGAAATGGAGCTCAATCCAGGGAGCCACACCAGCCAGGGCACTGCTTCCTATTCTTAAGGGGCCTTGCCTCACAGCTCAGTCACTCCTGCTGGGGGCGTGGGGTCCCTGGTTTGGGCTAGGTCCCTGCGACCCTAGGGGACACACCCCTGCCTGCCTGTAGGCTGTTTTCTGGAAGAGGAAGTAGGATGAGTGGGACTCTGGAGCTTCTCCACATCACTTCCAAGACAACATTAAATATTCACCAGAAGGTTCCTCCAGAGGCCCCACTGAGAGCTTCAAAGGCAGCCCGCCCCCTTGGCCACAGGCCCAGGGCCCTGGCTGCCTTGCGCCTGTTGCCCCTCCTCGCCCGTTGCCTCCTCACTCTGCCTCGTGGACCCCCTCTCTGGTGAGGCCTATGGTTCTGGAGTCTGTGCAGCCCCTGTGCAGGGCCCCGCGAGCCACCTCGGACCTGGCTGGGGCTCATGGCTGTCTCAGCAGAGGGCCAGGGCTCTGAGGGTTGGGGCCAGTGACTTGGCCTCCAGATGTGTCTGGGCAACAAGGCTGCGGGTTCCCCCCACGGACTCTGGCTGTGCCGAGCAGAAAGGACAAGGAGGTGCCGCTCCCCACACAGATAGCAGCGCAGAGGCGGGGCAGCGGCGGATGCAGGGCTGTGGTCCCTGCCTCTGCCTAGGAAATGCTCGGGGCTGCTGAGCTGTGAGTGGAGGGCCAGGTGCAGGCCTGAGGAAGAGGCTAGGAGCCAGGAGGACTGAGGTGCTGGGGACAGGCCCTGGGGGCCCCAGCTCACTGCGGGGTGGGAGTAAACAGCGCACCTGCGGAAGCAGGTGTGCGGGGGAGGCCGGGATGCTGCAGGCCGGCGGGCCCAGGTTCGGCCCGGCCGAGTCGCCTCCTAGGTGGACCCTGGGCAACGTGCCTCATCCTCCAGGCCTTAGTCCCTTTATTTTTAAGTGGGGACAGTGATTAGCACGTTGGAGGTCTGTTGAAACAGCGGACATCATGGTCATGAGGGAAGGAGCCCAGTGCCTGCTAAGGATGTTTCTTCCTTTCGCCTCAACCCCAGCAAACCCTTCCCCTTCGCCTTCCCTGGCGCCCTCCCGTGAACCCCGCCCCCAAGCCTCCATTCGCTGCGCCACTGTTTTTCTGCACATGCTGTTACTCCCTTGGCTGATGGTGCCTTCCCCTGCACCCACCCCACCCCTCCCCCATGCCCTACGCTCACTGCATTGCTCTCTTCTTTGAACCCCACTTCCTCTGAACCCCACCCTCTCTTCTCCAAGCAAATGGTCTACATGCCCGCCCTCCCCCCGGCCCCCTCCCCTGCTTTACTGTTCCTAGGTCTATCTCCCTCAATAGACTGCGGGCTGTGTGCCGTCAAAGATGGCGCCGTCTGCATTGCTTGATCCCCTGCCTCTTCAGCCCTCCACGCAAGCCTGTGGGATCACAGGCCATGAGCTCTGGTGGGGAAGGGCAGGGCGACTTGGTTGGCGTGGGCCTCAGGGACGGGAGGGAAGAAAAGCCAGTCGGATCGAGAAAAGAAATCCCTGGGAAGCACAGCTGCCACGGTCCCCGGTCACCTGCCTGGGCCCAACAATGAGCACACCAGCCCTCTGTGAGCAAGGGGTGGGGGGCAGAGGGCGGAGGGGGAGGTAGGGACAGGGCGCCACCGTGCTGCGTGTTTGTGAGGGCACGTCTGCTCGGCCTGCCCTTTACCAGCCTCGCCTCGCTGAATCTCCACCGGGACTCGAGGGGGCTGGGGTCAGCACCCCACCCGCAGTGGCAAGGCAGGCAGCACGCCCAGGGGGACCAGTAAAGACAGTAACGGCGCACACCAGGCCTCCCCGGCCAGACACGGTCTGGACTCTCCCAGCAGCCCCAGGAGGCCGGTGCTCTTCATGCCCTTTCCACAGACAAGGCAACCAAAGTACAAGGAGGCCTAGAAGGGCAGGGCTGGGCCAAGACAGATTTTCGGACCTCGGAGCCCATGCTCCCCGCCACCCAGCCTCCCTTTCTGGCACCACACATGGAAGATTAAAGGAGAGAGCAGACACAGAGCAGGTGGTTAATCGCCGGTTGGTCTTCCCAGCCTCGGCACCCCCTCCTCTCATCCCCATCTGCACCGCGCGTTTCTCAGGCGGCCCCTGGCGGGGCACAGGGCTTGGCCAGAGAAGGCGCAAGGTCAAGAAGCTGCCCACCTTGCCTCCCCATGTCTCTGTCTCAAGTCTCAGAGGGCTTAGACCCAAAAGCCACCTGACTGGACCGTCAGCTGTGGGGCAGTGACATCAACATCTCGTCCTTGTCTGCCCCGCTGCCCTCAGCTCGGACCCGCATGTGGCAGCAACTCCCGCAAGCCCTTCGCTCTCCAAGTGAGCCCACGGAGCCCCTCCCCCTGCGCGGCCCCGCTGGTTTCTGTCCGCGCAGGCTTCAGGGGTCCGGCAGACCCCACTACCGCTGGACTCGCAGCCTCACAGCGGCGCTGCCGGGCCAGGGGCCAGGACTCCCAGGCCACCCTGCATGTCCTGGGTGGGCCGCCTGAGGAGAGGGACCATGGTGTGAGGAAGGTGGGCTGGGGAGAAGGGGAGATGCCCCAGCTCTGCCTGTGCCCCACGTTCTCAGGTCTGAGACTGGGACCCAGAGGCCGGCCCCTGAGCCGAAGGGCCTGTGTGGTCCTGCCACGTGGCCCCTGTACGGCACGTCACTCTCGCCTCTGCCTTTACTCCCCCCTGCCTCCGTGTGGAGCACTCCTTCCCTAGTAAACCCTCTCTCCCTGCAAGAGCTGGCTTTCAGGCCTCGCCCTGCCCTGCCCAAGGCCCTTGCTGGCTCCCTGGGCTGTGCGTGAACCTCCCTCCCCGCCAAAGAGAGCAAGGCCCCAGGCTTTCACGGCATCAGTGCCCACTTTCTGTTAACCCGCTGGGTGAGCTGCTCCTCCCCGGCTGCTAGGGGCTCACTGAGGGCGGGGCCTGGGCTTTCCGTCTGCACCCACGCTCCTGGGGCCTGGCGCTCGGCGGCTGTTGAATAAACATCTTTGAACTGAAGTAAATTATGCTATACTACAAAGACTGAAAACGTATTTATAGTAGCTCAGTCTGGCCACCAACGGTGTCCTAGTGAGTGTCCCCAGGGCCCCATCGGGGCCGGGGCCAGGGCCGGAGGCTGTGCCTGGGCCCAGGGTTTCCAGCAGCCACGCTGCCTGGCCGGGAGCCTCTGGGCCCCCGGGACACGCCACAGTCGGAGGATCCTGATCATGTCTTCCAGACACCTCAGAGCCTACAGACTGAGTCAGTTTTTGGCCATTTTAATTGTAAAAACCAAGACATTTATATAAATAAGACCGCTATGTAAAATAGGCTTCACCCTTCTACCAAAACGCTTCTCCCCACACTCAAAAAGAATATAGAAAACCCGGCAGAGATAAGAAGTACAAAGTAGCATGCGGTCCCTGATGAGAAGTAACTGGCAGGCCAGGTTTCCCTGCTCAAACAGGCCTCGCGGTGAGTGTGCCCCTGGCCCGGGCGGCTCACCGGAGGCTCCGTGACACCTCGCGAGACTGCGCGACAGCAGTTCCCACACCCTCAGCCACTGGTCACCAACTGTGCGGGTGGAGGCAGTGGAAAAGGTTCACGAAGCCTGGCGGCTGAGGGGGGGCGGGGGGGGCAGGGGCGGGGCAGGCTGCCTGGCCCTCAGGCCAAGTCGGGGCTGTGGTGCTGCCGACAGGGTGAGGCAGTGGTTGGTCAGCCTGGGGTAGGGTCAGGGAAGGGGCTTCTGGGGAGGCCCTGCTTCTCCAGAGGACAGGAGAGAAGCTGTCAGCGCCCCTGGGGAGGAGAGGCTCCTTCTTGGGGCCATTTGCATATGGTCGGTCAAGACAAGGACAGTGGACACCTGCCGGCGGTGCTGGGGTGAAGGGCAGGGGCTCCGGGGGCGAGGGGGCAGCGGCCTCTGAGAGGTGGGGCTGGCATGTCCTTGGGAGAAAAGCTCCACCTCCCCGCCCTCCTTCTGCCCTGCCGCATCTCCTCACCTTCCCCTGCACCAAGACCACTGCCTGCCGCCCCCTGCACACCCTGGGACTCAGAGTGAGGTGGCTGGGAGCCTGGGGATAGAGGTGTCGATAAGTTCACACACTGGGCATGGCTCAGGACATGGGTACACAGGACAAAAGAAAGACCCCACGCTCTCCTTCGTGAACAAGGGCCTGCCTGGGGCTGCCCCCATGCCGGGTGAGCGGCAAGGACAGGCCTTGCGGGGCCTGGGGGGGTGTGCGGGGGGCAGTGTCAGGAGCACTTCCAGACACACACAGCCAGGGTCCCCCCGAAGTACAGGTAGAGCAGGTTCTTCACCTCATGCGTGATCTCGAACCCGAAGCCTTCACCAATCACCACGTGCCAGGAGGAGCCGAACTTCTTGTCCATGGTCTCTTTGATCATCTTGGCGGCACTCTGGAAGAGAGGGGACGCTCGCTGGGGGGTGGGAGGTGTGCCTGAGTCGGCGCACTCTGCAGGAGCAGAGGTCTCGGCAGGGGCCGGCCCGCTGCCCTCTCACTGCGGTTCCCCTGCTCCCGGAACCAGCAGAGAAGGTGTCCAGGCAGGCCGCCTCCTCCAGGGCCTGCCGCGCAGGGACAGCGAAGCAGACGTTACCTCACCAGTCAGGTGGGTGCTGCCTAAGGTGGTGGAGCAGGCACCAGGTTGGGACACGGAGCCCTGGGTTTGAGCTCTGGCCCGCCACCCCGCGCCCGCTTCCGGTGTCAGTCTCGGGCTGTTCTCAGGAGTGAAGGAAGTCGCATCTCCGAGAGCACCCCGCTGACTGTACAGGACTGTCATCACCGCGAGGTGTCGGGTTCATCCTCAGGGAACAAAGAGGCTGTTCTGTGACGGTCAGGCAGGCTCCCGGGAGGGCAGCCGCACCGCTCCCCCCACCCCTGGCCAACGTCCTGCGCTTGCTCTTTCAAGAAACTTCTTTCTAGAAGAGGTTGGGGAAGGACGGAGGCCCCAGTCTTTGTGGCACAAGGCCCAGGCTCGGGCATCTGCCGCGCACCAGCAGCACCACGCCCGCCCACGACACCAGGTGCCACAGGAGCCCTTGGTCCATGACATCTCAGCACACACACCGCCACTGCTGCCTAGTGAGGACACAGCATCCCCACCCCTGGCACAGACTGGGAAACGGCTCGGAGATGAGAAGTGGTTTATCTGAGGTTAAAGAGCTAGAAGGGTTGGGGATGGGATTGGACCTTGGCTGCCAGGACGCCGACTCGTCCTCGCTCACCACCAGCCTGATGGATGAGATTCCCGTGCCGACGCCTAGTGGCTGCGTCACCAGGTCCTAGGACACTGCCTGGCACAGAGACGGAGTCTAACATCTTTTCGGATGGATGAATGGACACGTGCATGAAGGCCTGGGTGGCCTGTTCTCTGCTGGCATGGAGCCAAGGGAAAGGCGCCCTGCTCAGCAGCCCGCCTGGGACAGGGAACACGGCAGGGGCGTCATGAAGACCCCTCTGGCTCTTGTCCCTCCAGGGCTGGGCGTGAGCCCCCAGTCAGCGCCCACAGATGGCACCAGCCTCTCCCTCACTGGCCTTCCCCAGGCTCCAGAGGCTCCCGAGGAAGGCGCTAGCCTGGTCCCCGCAGGACTCCCTGAGCTGGCTGTGGGGCCTGGGGCACTTGGTTACCCGCAGGGCTCATCGAAGGCCCGAGGGGCCGCCTGTGCCAGTGGCAATACCTCGTTGTTGTTGGAGAATTTCTCACAGGCCGTGACGCACAGCTCCATGGTCTCCACCCGCATCTCCTCTGGCATGTCCGAGTGCTGGAGACAGGGCAGGGGTGACAAACAGAGAGGCTTAGCCATGGCCCGCCTTCTGGGCTGGCCTCTCTGTCCCAGGCATAAGGCCTGGACACTGGGTGAACGCCCCAGCACAGGCCGGGACCGAGCCCAGAGAGGCAGCCCGCCCCCTACTCAGGGAGCGCAGCTGGGGAACTGGGGGCACGGGCTCAGGCGGAGCCCCGCGGGCGCTAAGGCCCAGGCCCTCCGCAGGGCACAAGGCTTCTCCGGCGCCACGGTCCAGCCCGCAGACCCAGGGAGGAGGGCCGGCCCAGGCGGGAGAGAACGCCGGCTGTGGAGGTGGCTCCTGGCCGCCCCTGCGCACACCTGGATCTCACTCCAGAGGCCTGAGCAGACAGCTCGGCCGCTCGCAGGGGCTCACGGCTTTCTCCCTGCCTCTCCGGCAGCTCCTTCTCAGTGCCCGCTGGCTGCCCCTCCCAGTCCCAGGGCCAGAGGGCCCCGGGCTGGCCGCTGCCCTTTCCTCCTCTCCAGCTACCTGCTCTCTAGGGGACCGCAGCCTGTTCCATGGGTTTATTCATCTTATATACGGGGCGGGGGGTCTCACAATTTCATCCCCTGTTTTCATCTCTCCTGGGCTCTAGACTACTACGTCCACTGCCTACCTGACAACCTCACTCAGATGTCAAAGAGATAACTTGCTTTTCCCCATAAACCTACTTTGAAGTAGTTGTTTAAACCTTCCCTTCCTGTGGGCCAGGCTTCGCCTGCCTTATTCTCTACTATACCCACAGTGCCCAGGACAGCGCCCGGGATATAGCGAGTGGCCTGCAGAAATGCTTGTTGAATGGGTGAATGAATGAATGAATGAATGAATCACGGTCTACTCCGTATCTCTAGAGCTGCGCCAGCAAAGCCCTCCGTCACTTCCTCCCACTGCCTTGCCCACCTCTCCCCAGGGCTGGGTGGGCCCTGTGGGCGCCCTGCCTCCCTTCCTGGGGCTTACCCTGACCAGAGGGAAGGTCTGCAGTCGCTTATAATCAGCCTCATCTTTCTTCCCTTCTGCCTCTCCCATGATTCTTCCACTGTGGCCGCTGGAGGGGACAGCGGGCTTTTAGGAGGTGCTGGGACCGGCAGTTGAGACACAGCCAGGAGCTTCGGGAAGCAGGCCCTGCCAGCGTAGCGGGAGCGGACCGTCTCCTTCCCCAAGGGGTGCTGCAGAAAACAGGAAAAACCAGGACAAAAGGGTTGGCTTTAAATCCACACATCACAAATCAGGAATGTCTCAGTGACAATTTGACACCTCCTGGTCCTCACTCCTCCGCATCCTTTTCCAAATGGCCAGCAAGTCTGCAGCCGGGAGGATGAGTCACCGTGGGGTGCTGGGACCCTGCTGAGAACACACTGCTGTGAAGCTGCAAGCCCACACTGCCGTTATCAGACAAACACTGACTGCGGGCCAGGCTGGCGACGAGCCGCGAGCTGGTGGCAAGCGAAGAGAGCCTCTCTGCGTGCCCACTAGGTACATGGTCTTATTTTCCGGCAGACGTGATTGAAGTTAACATCAGGCCACGAGCCACAATCCTTGGCTTCTGGGAAAGCAAGCGCCTCCTTTCACAGGCCCCTGATCTGCCGAAGAAGCGGAACAGTGGGGTCCCGGGTCCTCTCTGGCACACCAGGCCCCCCGGCTCTTCCTGCCTGCTCCCCCCGCCAGGCCCCCAGCCCTGTCTGGCTGGCCCAGGAGTTGGAGGCCTGGGCGCTGGTGCTGCTTCTACGGCTCCCCACAGTATGGCCTCGGACCCCTCGGCAGCGACACGAGGGCCGCCACGCCTGTCTCGTGAGGCTGCTCTGAGAATCAAATGAGACGACGCACAGAAGCCGCGATCACCGGGCCAGGCACATGATCGGCACTCTGGGCGCTCTCCTGCCTTCCCTCTTTGGGGGAATCAAGTGAGAGGATGCAGACGGCTATGCCTGGCAAGTTATAAAGCCTAATATCCATGTTTACATTTTTTTCTTTCCAAAGCCAGTTATCTAATAACAGGTGGGGCTTTTCCTAAAGAGATGGGCCTGGATCCCAAGTGACTAGGAGTGTTGCTGGGAATCCTGGTGTTTCTCTTATAATTCAATTTATCCTATAATTCCAAGGCCTTTTGATCTCAGAAGAAATGCTAATATAAATACAAACCACCACGTTGTTAAACCCTTTTTAACAATCTGTATCCAACAAATACAAACATTCCAGAATTTCCAAACAAAGTTACACTCATGGCATAGCCGCTGAGCCCTCAAGATGCCCAGCATAGTAATTAACAGGTAGGGTGACATTCACCAGGCGTCCAGTGTGCCGGCCACTGCTTACAGAGCTTCGCGCGCATCTGCTCAGCCCGCCACTGCAGCGAGCCCTGAGTTAGGCCCTGTACTCAGAGAGCCACGGAGCTGCCAGGCCGCCGGCCGGAGGTCTCCCCAAGAGGCAGCAGCAGAGCTGGGGTGTGAATCCGGCCCAGGCTCTGCCGTGGGAGTTCCTAACCCTTCGTCAGGCCTTCCCAGGGCACCGACACCCAGCAGGCACCCACAGAACTGACCTGGTGGGACTAGTATGGCTCGTGGGATTCCAGCAGTGAGACAGATGTTCCATCTCCCCTTCCAGGGTCTGCCGTCCTAATGCTGCCTCGACCTTGTCTGGCCAAGCACCGAGCTTCCGGGGTGCCTGCGCTGGCTGCGCTCTCGTTCTCTCCCACTCTCCGATGCCGCAGAAGCCCTCGGCGCCATCCCACGCGGTCCCTCCCTCAGCTGGGGCTGGACGCTTGCCACCAACGCCGCCGTCCCACCGTGCTGGCACTTTCTGATTTCTCCATGGACAGATGGCTCCTCTTCTCTCATCACTTCTGGGCACTTGCACCATTCAGATATTAGTAGTTTTTGTTTGTCGCTATATATACGTTGGCAAGTCACCAAGCACAATCTCATTGTACTTCCTGCTCATGTTCCTTATTTCATAAAGTCCAGTGAATCACTGTGTCTTCGCTCATGAATGTTAAGGCCTGTCTCCAGTTCCACGTTACCGCTTCGTCCTCCACGTTACCAAGGGGCGGCAGAAGGTGGTGGCTACACGGATGATCAAAGGACAAGGGCTTTAGGGTTTGTTATTTCCCGAGATTTTCAAGTGGGAACACCTTAAAATGCGCAAGCAGCTGCTCAGGCGTCTTCCACCTATGTATTTGTTTGAGTTGATTCATCCACGGGCAAGAAGTGCTGGTGCGGAGGGGCTGGAAGGGACTCAGAGGCACCGTGCGCGGGCCGACCTCGGGGAGTCAGGGCCTGTGACAGCTGCTCAGGCGCTCCTTCAGCCTCAGGAATCCTGACGCAACAAGAGCGCTGCCAAAGCCCGTTCTTCAGCAACAAAGGGGAGAAGCCACGGGGAGTTTGGGGGGAAGGGGCCTCACCGTGTAGAGCAAAAAGGCACAGGATGAGGAGGCAGGGGACTTGGGCTTGGGCGCCAACTCTGTAATGAAATGGCTCCTGCCCTCTTCCTTGCTTTGCAGCCTTGGGCAGGTAGTTTAACGTGAGCCAGGTTTCCTCCTCTGTGAAACAGGGTGACCCCGTCTTAGCTTCTGAAAGCTGGTGCATGCCTCAGCGACGTGCATGTGAGCACTGAAAACTCACAGCTCTCTGAACTACTATCGCCACACTGCTCTTCCTGCCGTCACGTTATTAGCCAGGACTTTGTCAATGTGATTCAACTATGTTTATTAAAGACCATGATTGCAAATAGCTTTTCATAACCACTACAGGCACTTCTGGGGCTCCGATAGGGATCAGACTTAAAAAATGAAAAGGAACAGTTATAGGCAGTATTCCAAGTACAGAAAGGCAGGAGAATTTTTATGATGCGGTATCCTTAGAGTACAGTTATCGCCATTCAGACACGATTCAAAACCCTGCTGGAAGAATGCTACCAAAATAGAACTCGAGGTTTTAATAACCTTATCAATCTTCCATGCAAATGAGTGTGTCCTGCATAGCTCCAGGCCAGAAAGAAGTCATGTCAGGCCCGAAAGAGAGCCCTTTAATAATGCAAGCGGGCCCAGGGTCCGTGCGCTTGAGCCTGCTGCGTGCCAGGGCTTGGCTGTGCCAAGCGCCTCTGCGTGCTCACCCGGCCTCGCCTGTGTCTGAGGGGTGGCTGCTCCTAGGTAACCAGAGGCACAGGGCTCCTCACCTGTCATCGCCTTGTCAAAGCCAGTGTCTATTGTCCCGCTGTCCCTTGTTCTTTTCTGGCATTGACTTCAGTCACGCTTTATTGTTTGGCTTCTGAAGTATTCAGGAAGAATCTTTAAGAGGGTTAGGGAATGTGGGAGGGATGCAGGGAATGGATGGATTCTGGGAAATAAGGCCCACAGTGTCACCACCCCCCAGGAAGGTGCCCCTGCCACTCAATGTCTGGGACACTCTGGCTCATAGGCCGTGGCTCCGCCCCTTGACCACCGCCAGGCAGCTGAGAGATGGGAGGGCACACCCAGAGCAGGCGAGCAGCAGGGAGTGCCGGCTCCACCGGCAGATCTGAAGTCACATCTTGGTCTGTCTCAGTTTTCTCATCTAAGAACAGACTCTACAGTAAATGTAAACTCTCGTTACCGGTGCGGTAAGACGGGGAACTCCAATGTCCTCCCTCACGTACCAGCCCAGCCAACATCTGAGCAGTCAGCCAAACAAACCGATGTATTCCGAGTTCCCACCCCACGCAAACCACCACGTGCCTACCGAAGGGGTCTGTACCACACAGCTTGGGCCAGGCCTGGGTGCAGCAGTGCGGTTACATCCTGCCTTCACGTTTGTCATCTCCTTTCATCCTGTAACACGCTGCGGAGGCAGCACCATTCCCAGTTCTCAGACAGGGCCCCGGGGGTGCAGAAAGGTTTTGGCGCGGGCCACAGGTGCACAGCCAGCAATGACGGGGCCAAGATCTGAACCCACATTGAGTCTACCAATTCCGCCTTTTGTGCTTTCTTCCCATCACAAGCAAGTAGAAGACAAGACGGAAACACAAGCACCTTCCATCCTCTGCAGCCACCGGTCCAGGCATGCCTCCTGCTTCCAGTCGTGCCAGGGGTACATACTCGTGCTCCCCGACTGTCCTCCTGCCTTCCCCTACATGCCACCCTCTGCACCCCGACCCCAACCCCGGCAACCAAAGAGCAGAACTGGTAAGGGGTGGAGAGGGGAACCTAAGGGCCTGGGGGAGGGGCATGCATCCAAGACCTCAGTGGTGAGGGCAGGAAACAGCATTTGGGAGGTCTGGATTCCACAGGTCAGTTTAAAATGGGGGAAGCAAACAGAGGGTTAACACGTCAAAATTTTGCTGAGCATTAAAAGCTCATCGTCTCCTATAAAAGAAAGTTTTAACAGTAAGAAGGAGATGGTTGCAGAATAAATAGTGCTTCTCAAGAAAAGATAGTTACCTGTCATATACACAGAAAGGTTTTTGTTTTTTTTTTAATTTACCTTATTTTTTCTCATTTTACTGAGGTCCAGTGAAAACTTCTGATGTGCATTAGACCACAGAGAAGGAGGACAAGAAGGATGGAGGGAGGGAAGGAGGCAGGGATAAAGACATTTTCTTGCCCTGGCTGGATACATCAGTTGGTTAGAGTGTTGTCCCGCTACGCCAAGGTTGTGGGTTTGATCTCCCCGTCAGGGCACATAAAAGGATCAACCAATGAATGCACAGATAAGAGGAACAATAAATCGATGTTTCTCTTTTTTGGTCAAATCAATAAATTAAAATTAAACTGAATGAGAGATTAAAGTTAAAAAAAGACATTTTCTTTATGTATAATATGATGTAATAAATAACACTGACTCACATCATACCCAGATTTAGATAAAATCCCAAACGTCTGGTCAAGACACAAAGTATGACAGAAAGTCATGCCCATCGCAGCTATTTGCTCTGCACGGAAACAGCTGCTTACTACGGTGGGTCCTGCAGTCTCCCACCTGCCCTCTCCCACTCAGGAGAACAGATTTACACGTGAGGTACTAAGAATGACATTATCACAAAAATAAATTGGAGTTAGCACAGACTTATTTTTAAAAGTATCGTTCACAATTGCTCATTTCTGGTGACACCTCACAACCAGTCACGACTTAGCAGTGTGTCATGAGTCCAGACAATCACTTAGGGATGAAGGACATTATTCTGCTATAGATGCCCCAGAGCATGAAGTCCAGTGCCTGGCACATGGCAGGGGACCAACAGCTATCTAAATTGTAATTAAGTTATATTTCATTTGCCCCCTGGGGAGGGAGAGGACATATCAAATTCATCCCATAGTATCTACTGGGTACTGACGTTAAGTAAGGCAACAGGTCAGGCGCTCTACCTGCAGGGTCTTGCTGGCTCCCCCTGAGAACTGTCAGACAGGCACTCTTAGCCCTACTTTTCCGATGACCATGCAGGCTGAGAAAAGGGAAGTGACATTCCACTTAGCTAATAAGTGGAGGAGCTAGGATTTGATCAGTTACGTGCAGCTTCAAGCTTATGCTTTTCCGACTGCTCCACTATAGGCAAGGGATGGGCCCCACTTCCCAGAAGCTTACAACCTAGAGACCAATGCACATACACAAGGAGGTGATTGTGGTTCGTGACCAAAAGTGGAAAGTGCCACAAGACAGATGCACACACAGAGGGTAAAAAAGAATTCTGGCGGGGGCAGGGAGAGGACAGTAAGAAAAGCTTGGGGACGGGGGCAGTGTCTGAGCCAGACCTTAAAAGGTGAGTGAGTGGGAATCCTGGCAGGTGGACAAGGTGAGGAAGACCTTCTGGGCAGAGAGAGGAGCAAACAAAGCAGAAAACTCCAAGCGTTTTCTGTCAGAGTCCAAGAGTCCAATGTGGCTGGAGGACAGAAGCAGGCAAAGGAACAGGGAGGAAGCAGGCTGGGGAAAGCTGGCAGGGTCCGGTTGCAGAGGTGTGGAAGGGCCTGAAAACCTAGGCTTATGAAGTGTGCATATTTTTAGTGGGGAAATGAGAAGCCCTTTGGAGATCTCTTTGGGGTTGGTGATGTGGTTGTGTTTTGGGGGCAATTATTTTGTTAATATAACTGAGTTAATAGGAGGAGGGACTAGAGGCAGGGACACCAGTTAGGAAGCTCCAGCAATGGCCCAGGTGACAGACATTAAAGATTTGAACTTGGGTCCTGGCTTCAGAAATGACGGGCTGTGAGATCCTTGCTGAGGCAGAATCAAAGCAACTTAAGCAGAGTGGGATGGGCGTGGCAGAATGATGCATGGTGGCATGATGCCCCAGGAGGACGGCGATGGCCCTGAGAGACACAGGGGAAGGCAGGTGTGACAGATGGATAGGGAGAGAGCAGGCCGGTTTGATTTAGACTGGCCTTCTAAACTGCTGAGTTTAAGTCGCTGGCAAGACGTGCAAACGGGGTGTCTCATCAGGAGTAGGTAATCACCAGATCATGGATCATCAGGGCCAGAAGGGAAGCCATGGAGCCCAACCACCGCATCAATGTATCAGTCAATCTCTACCCCCACCCCCACCCGAAGTATCCCTGACCATGGAAACCCAGGAGAAAGATCAGAGCTGGAGATCTGGATTGGAGGGTCAAACGGAAAAATGCAGGCACGAGACAAAGGAGGGAAAGTAAGAAGTACTGACTCTCTACTGGACTGGGCCCTTTATACTTCTTATTATCCTCAGAATTCCCAAAGGAGATGCTCTGTAGTGTCCTGATTTTACACAAGCCCAGGGAGGTTAGGTAACTTGCTCGGGTCCTGCAACTGGGAATCCAAATCAGGTTTGTCAAGTTCGTTTCACTACACCCGACTCCTCCAAAGGGAAGAGCATCCCCAGGGCAGCCTACAGCTGGGTCAAAGAATCACATCTTTGAACGTCAGCTTCGAAGAGGCCTTCGAGATCATTCGGCCTAACTTCTCGTTTACAGATGGGGAAACTGAGGCCCAAAGAGGGAAATGAACAGCCTGGAGTCCCAGCACGTCGCCTACTGTCCAAGTCAAGCGGTCTGGGCCCAGGCTCTGGGGTCCACAGGCCCAGTCGAGGGAAGGGCGGGGCGGGGGGGGGGGGGGGTTACTCCGCGAAAGGTGCGGCGATCAAGGTGCTGCGGACGGGGTTCGGGTCGGAGAGTGTGGGGGAGCGCAACGCTGGACCAGGCCTCGGAACGCCGAATCGCGACAGCGAATCTGTCACCACCGAGCTCGCAAGTCTCCTAAGTGGGAGGGATGGGGGTTGGGAGGACCTGGGGCTGGGGACCAGCAGGGAGGAGACTGGGGTGGGGCCTCCGCGGTGGGCGAGGCCCTGCCAGCCCCGCGGTGCTTCCCGGTTCCCCTTCGGGTCGGCCCTCCCCACCCGGCTGCCCGCCGAGCCCCGGGGCCTCACCTGCTCCCGCGGGGGCTGGAGCCGGGGCCGCCGCTAGCTCACCCCCGCCAGGGTTGTCAAGAAGCAAAACAAGAGTGTCTTAGCAACAGCAAGGAAGTCCTACCCCTCACCGGACGTTGACAAAAATTTCACTTCTTATTGGTGCACAAAAGTGTCCTTCAATGTTGAAGGGCCCTACAACGTAGAGGCTTGCACGGGGAGGGGCGGGGCTTAGAAGCTGGGGGCGGGGCGTCGTTTATAGTCGTCTTAGATGAGCCTGAGGAGCCGGGACGTAAAGTAGTTCTCATTTTAAAGAAACAAACTTTTAAGAACAGTATTGCCTTGGGAGTTCCTTGTAGTCATTTGAAGTAACAAATGCATTTTGTTGCTGTGACACTGAGATGCTACTTTATTAGGCTCTCAAAAGCCTACTAATAACTGTTATAGCATTTATATAAGGAGGGCTTTACAATATCTCACCTGATTCTAACCTTACTGCTTGTAGGTAACAGGATTCGTAACCCCACCTGAACTAAGATTTAAAGAGGCTAAGTAACTTGTTAAAGGAAAGAATCAAAGTAAAGCTGCTTGAGAATAACCCAGGTGCTAAATGTTTTCACTGGAGCACACCCTTGTATAGCTGCCTTGTTCTAGTCCCTAGGCGACGTTGTATCATTTATTTAAAGACACGGTCGTCCCAAGCCTGCCTTTCTTCCCCTTAGGAGGGAAGATTAACCTGAGAGTATTAATACAACTGTGGAAGGGATAAGAACCTGCAGATTCAGATATTTGATGGGCGGATCAAAGGTTCAGTGGAGTACTCCACAACTGAAAGTCACTTTCTCACGGTGTGCACTCAGGTGAAACCTCACTTCACATTCACTAGCACCTACTGGAAACAGCCCTGGCCAGGTTCCGGTGATCCAGAGAGGGATAAGATGTGGACGGTGGTCCCAGAGGAGGCACAGTCCCGTGAAGGGACAGTTGTGTCAACAAAACAGATACAGAATAATTCTTTCTACCTGCGCTCTGGTGGAGATGTGGGCAAGGTGCTGGTTCTCTCCAAGGAGGGAGTAACTAACATTCAGAAAAGGTGGCGCTTGAGTTGGCTGAGTCCGTACATGGCCAGGAGACTACTGAGGGTGGAGAGCACAGTTTGCTAGGGAAGTTCTTGGTGGCTCCTTGAGGCCTGGGTGGAGGGCAAATGTGGTTTAAGTGGGAAGTGATGGTGAGAGAGTGGGGGTGAAGATGCAGAGTGAAGTGGGGATCACAAAAGTCAGAAGGGCCCTGGCCTGGTGGATCAGTTGGTTGGAGTGTCATCCCATACACTAATAGGTTGCGGGTTCGATCCCCAGTCAGAACACATATCTGGGTTGGATCCCTGGTGGAGGCACAAACGAGAGGCAACTGAGAAAGGATTCTCTTTCTCCCCCTCCCCCCATCTCCTCTCTCCAAAATCAATAAATATATCCTCTGGTGAGGATTAACCAAAAAAACAAAAAATCCAAAAAAAAACGGAAAAAGAAGGGTTTTGAACACCAGGTGCAGGGATTTGGGTTTTTCCTGGGGGGAGGTGAGACTTGGGGAAAGTAGCCATCGGAGAGCTGGAGGCCAGCAGGAGCACAGCCGGACTCGGGATGTGGAAAGATCACTGCGTGAATGACGGTGGACTGGACTTGAAGAGGGGAGAGAAGGCCCACGCGGTAGGTTTAGCTTAGCGGGACTTGGCAGCTCGGTGTGCTAGGTAGGCCTTTCCCTCCTCGGTGCGTTTGGAGGGTCTGGGGATGTCTGACTCAGCTTCCATATTTCTTGAAATCTCTTTGCCAACTTTCTTCAGGAGATGGAAGGCGGCCTTTGAGGGCTATGAAGTGCTTGCCTCCGCCTCTCATCCACATTTCTCTAAAGGGGGTCCACATTCTCTATCTTCTCTTTCTCACCTCCCATTCCCTTTTCAGCCCACTGCAATCTGGCTTCCACTCCCACGACGCCACCAAAATTCTCTCTTCCATGGTTACCAGTGACCCCCTGAAGAGAGGAATCCGGCAGAACCATTTAGTCTTTATCTTCCTGGACCACACCCCTTCTTCTTGAAATTCTGTACCCCAGCAGTAATGCCTTCAGAATTCTTTTTTAAATAAAGTATGGTTTTAATCCTCACCCAAGGATGTATTTTTTATTAGCACCACGCTCTAACCAACTGAGCTAAACGACCAGATCAAGGATATATTTTTTTAAATTATTGATTTTGGAGAGAGAGAGCAAGAGAGAGAGAGAGACAGAAACATTGATGTGAGAGAGAAACATTTATTGTTTGCCTCCTGTACATGCCCCAACCGGGGATGGAACCCACAACCCAGGGATGTGCCCTGACTGGGAATAGAACCTCAACCTCTTGGTGTATGGGACGATGCTCCAACCAACTGAACCACCTGGCCATGGCCAGAACTCTTTACAATGCAGATTCCAGGGCCCCACAGGATCAGAATGGGTAGGGGTAGGAATCTGTGTTTTCACAAGCACCCTGTGCACACTCACAGTTGAGAATCTGCTCTTCCCTAACAGGGTGGGGGGGGACCTCACTCTCCTGGATCTTCTTGGATCTCTTCCTCCCGGTTTTCTTGGGCTTTTCTTCCTCCGCTCTCTGTACCCACCTTGGCCTTCTTTCCTTCTCACAAGGGGTCTCACATTTCTTCCTACCTGAGGTCAACTTCTCATCAGTGAAAACTTGCGTCAGTCACACTTCCTGAGCATTTACTGGAATCGAGCATTGTATTGCACTTTGGAAAAGCCCCTCTGGAGCCCTGGCCCATGTGGCTCAGTGGTACTGAAAGGTCACTGCTTCGATTCCCAGTCAGGGCACATGCCTGGGTTGGGGGCAGTTCCCCCGGATGGGGGCGTGCGAGAGGCAGCCAATCAATGCTTCTCTCACACATCGATGTTTCTCTCCCTTTTTCCCTCCCTTCTCCTCCCTCTAAAAATAAATAAAAACTTTAAAACAAAAAAGCCCCTCTGGCGATTCCAGATACTCTCACAGGGAGCCCCATGCCCCTCGCATACTCTGTTGAGAACTGCTGCCCTAGGCACTGTCCCCTGGGGACCTCATCCGCTCCAGGGTCCCTCCGTCAATGCCCTGGATTCTGATAGCGCTTGTATTTCTCTCTGCAGATTAGGCCTCTTCCTGGAGCTCCAAACCTACATACCCAACTGCCCCCACCCCCGCCACCTCCACCAGAACGTCCCAGAAGCCCTTCAAACTTTACACGTCCCAGACAGAATCGATCATCTCCCTCCAGCCTGCTCTCCCCGCATTCCCCACCGCAGCGAATGGGGCCCCCAGCCACCCAGGGGCCTCCATCAGAAACTGGGGACGCGCATCCCTCACACCTGCCCCCACATCACCCACCTCCAGTCACTTACCAGCCTGCCGATTCTGACTCTGTCCTGATTACAGCCCCTCTGATCACGGCCATGGCCCTCCACGTGGGCACAGAACCACGATCCCACCTGTATCACTGCACCCGCTTTCTGGCGGGACTGCCTGGCTGCGGTCTTGCCATCTTCTACCCCGCAGGTGCAGTAACCCCTCTAAAACCTAGATTTCACCACTGCATTCCTCTCTTTAACAGCTCCTTCCTTCCTTCCCTCCACAGTTCCCCGTTGCCTGCTGGGGGACATCCGATGCTGTCACCTGACGTCCAAGGCCCCCGTGGCGTAGGCCCCCGTGGTATAGGGCTGCTTTGTCTCCTTGCTTCTTCTTCCCCTGTTCTTTAGGCCACCGCTCGTGGCTCTCCGCACACTTCACGCTGTTTCTCGCCTCCCTGCCTTTGCTCACGCGTGCTCTCTGCCAGCACGTTCCCTCTGTCCTTCCCATGCACTTTTGGTCAAAGCTTGTACACATTGGGATTCCTTGCAACCAGAAGAGTCTTTGTGCTCATCTGCTGCATGTTCCCACTATTGCCCTTCTCCACTGTTTTGTATGGGAGTTTAATTCTTTGTCTTCTCCTGGTAGCTCCCTGAGAGCAGAGACTCTGTCTTACTCATTTCTACATCCTTGGGTTACGCACAGGATCTAGCAGAGAATCGGTGCTTGGTAAATGTTTCATGAATGAATATGTGAGTGAGGTGGATAGGGTCCTACCCTGCTCCTTCGGACTCAGCCCTTGTCAGTCCCCAAGACTTAGCCTATGTTCTGCTACCTCCTATCACACGTTGCTCCTGCTGCTTAAAGTTGCTGGCCGTGGATACCTCGGAATCAGTTAGCAATTGGATCAGCTGCAAGTCTCAGAGATGGGAAAAACAGTGACTTAAAACAGCCTAAATTTATTATCTGACACTTCTGGTGTCAGAATTCTGAAATGGGTGTCACTGGGCTCAAGTCAAGGTGTCCTCAACGCTTCTTCTCTTCCTCTGGAGGCCCCAGGGAAAACAGTTTCCTTCCCTTTTCCGTCCTCTAGAGACTTCCCGCATCCCCTGACGCTGGCTCCTCTGCCTCTCTCTTCCCTACCTGAGGGCCCGTGATTGCACTTTGGGTCCATCTACATAATCCAGGTTAATCTCCTATCTCTCGGTCATTCTGATAAGCAACCTCCCCCCCCACCTTAATTTTTTAATTTTTCAGTTACAGTTGCTGTTTAATAGCATATTAGTTTCAAGTTACTGCATGGCGGTTATTCGTTTCTATCACTTACAAAGTGACCCCCTGACATTTCCAGTGCCCACCTGGCACCCTGGGTAGTTATTACAATATTATGGACTATATTCCCTATGCTGTACTTTGCATCCCTGTGACTGTTTTGTAACTGCCAATCTGTACTTCGTAATCCCTTATGTGACAATATTTCCCTTTGCCATGTAATGTAACATATTCACAAGTTCTGGGGGATCAGGATGTAGGCCTCTTTGGGGACCCATTATCCTACCTACTATAGTCAGTTTGGGTGAATTTCTTGTGCGTAGTTGGAAAGACTGTCTGTTCTGTAATTCTCCGTTAGGTCAAGTTCGTGAATCACATTGTTCAAGTTTTCTACATTCATACCACATTTTTTATCTGCTATCCCTGTCAGTTACTGAGCGATGTGTTAAAATC